CCCCCCTGGGGGCGGGGGGCGTGGAGCAGCATTCCTCCAGGACACTCCTTCCCATTCCTCCCTGACACTCCTCCATCTCCATGACAAGGGGAAGCCTTCCCCGCATTTGACTTCCCGCTGCTACAAATCAACAGGGACAAACTGAGAAGCCTGTCTCTGAAATTCCCTAACTTATCCCGGGCCTGGGCCCTCAGGACGCTTCCTGTTTCTTGCTGGCCTTGAAACACGGAGAGCCTCCTGGCTCAGGATCTGTCTGAAATTCCCTCTGCCCTCCCTGGATGGTCTGGTCAGGCCACGTGCAACAGGCTGTGGGAACTGTGCGCTGCCCTGGCCTTCGGTCCTGCAGAATGACAGTACTCGCTGGTCCCACCGTTCGGCTACGCTGCGGTTTCTGAATCAATCCACTGTCCCCAGGACCCCACTCTAGAGGCAGAAGACCAGCGTGGCAGAGCGCAGGAGGAGCCGGGACTCGGAGGCCGGCTGGGACCAGGTGAGCACCCCTTACCACTCTCGGCACTGTCCACGGTGCTCAGTGCACCTGCTGCATACCACAACCACTTGTTAATCCAAAAAAAAAAAAAAAAAGGGCGACTCATCTGCCACTTTGCGAATTCCACGGGGCCAGCGACAGCCACTTAGGAGGATGCCAGATGACCCGCCACTCCTCCTCCTCCTCGCCTCACTTCCTCTTACTCACTCCCCAAGATGGCTCTCCTCCCTGCCAGCCCCACCACTCAGCCTTCCTTCTCCAGAAACCTCATCGGTCACCCATCCCCGCGGGTCCCCGGGGACAGCCCCCGGCCCGCATCCCGGCAGACGCCCCGCCTCGGGAACCCCGGGGCCTGGCGTCCTGGGGCCCTGGGAGCGCCGGGATTTCTGCCCCGTCTCCTTCCTGCCCCGGGGAAGGGGTCAAAGCCACCCGCTCAGGACAGAGAGAGAGGGAAGGGGGTGGGATAAGGGCGGGAGCCGGGGCCCTGAGCGTGCAGAGGAGGGCCTGGGGGGCACACGCAGCAGGGGCTCCCCGCGCAGCCCCGGCCCGCCGTGCTCCGGGACCAGCGAGCTGGCCTCTCGCAGAGCCTGCGTGTCCGCGGCGGGGGCGACCCCGGCCCCGAGGGGCGCCCGGCCCTCCGTCCCGGGCCCCGCCCCCGACCCCGACCGCGACCCCGACCCCGACCCCGCCCCGACTCCGGCCCCGACCCCGGCCAGGCCTTACGTGTTGTCCTGGTTAAAGTTGGCGAAGAGCAGCTGGCCCGCGCCGGCCTCGCCGCTCTGGCTCGCCAGGTTCATGGCTGGGCGCGCGGATCGGCCCGGCCGAGGGGCGGGCGGGCGGGCGCGCGCGCGCGCGCGCGCGCGAGGGCGAGTCGGGCTGCGCTCAGGCTCGGCGCCGGGCCCCGCTCGCCGCCTCGCTCGCCGCCACTCGCTGCTCCGGGATCAACCGCCGCCTCATCCCGACCCTGCTCTTGTTTATGCTCCGGAGCCGGGGCGCCCTGCGCGCCTGCGCGGCCCCGCCCCCCGCGGCGCGCGCCGCGACGGCGCAGACGCACTCGCAAGCCCCGCCTCCTTCCCTTCAGGCCCCGGGAGAGGGTTCCGGTCGAACGCGCACGCGTAGAGGCGCCCGGGGAGGGGGGGGGCAAAGGTACGAGCGCGACGGAGACCGCGCATGCGCACGGGGAGGCCCAGCCCGGCGTGTGCTGTGTAAGCGCATGGCGGCTCCAACACCGGAAGTGCCCCTCACGTGCCAATCATGCACAAAGCTCTTGAGCGTCTTATTCGATGCTCGCTGCAGCCCTGTGTGATGTGACTGCACCGACTGGAAAGCCGAGGCTCAGAAATACTCAGCCGTTTGCCAAATGTTACATGCGAGAGCGGGAAGCTCCTGCATTCCCTCAGGCGCCATCTCGTCTGGGTCCCCGGGAGAGGATTCTACCTTAAATGTATTAATTCATCAGTATTTAGGGGACGCTGGCGTTGTGACGCGGCGGCCTCCCGCCCCTGCGAAGGCTGCGGACGATGGCGGCGGCGTCCTTGGGCCCCTGCCACTCACGCGGGAGACCCCGGCGGAGTCTTCAATAATAAATCTTTAAAAATGTTTGGGAAGCACCTTTCCCGTGAACTTTTCACTCAGAGAAATTACGGAAGAGGAGAGATTTAAATAAAAGGTTACGCAGCCACGGGGTGCACCCACTGAGGTCACCCGGCCTGGACGTGAGGGGCGGGGCTGTGCAGCCAGGGAAGGCTTCCTGGAGGAAGGGCTGACCCGAGGTTGGAGGAGTAGCATTACAGGACGGCGGTGCCCCGTGTGGCCGAGGTCAGGGAGAGAGCGGACCCGCTGGAGGACGCCCTTCTCACGGAACAGAGCCTGGGCAGGATTGGCTGGAGGCCAGGATAAGCCGGGCACCGCTGAGACGCTGCCCCGAGAGCCGGGTCATTGCCATGGGGGTGGTGAGCTGGCCCGAGGTGGGCGGGACAGTGGCGTCAGGAGATCGGGAGGTCAGCCCGAGTGAGCCCCGTGCTGAAAGTCCTTGAGGAGAGCACGTGGCTTCAATGGAAGCCATAAATCCCGCTGCCTTCCCCGCACTCTGACGGTCAGCCCGCAGTCCCACGGGCTCCCCACTCTGATGGTCAGCCGACAGTCGCACGGGCTCCCCACTCGGATGGTCAGCCGACAGTCCCACGGGCTCCCCACTCTGACGGTCAGCGCGCAGTTCCATGGCCTCCCCACTCGGACGGTCAGCCCACAGCCCCACGGGCTCCCCACTCGGACGGTCAGCGTGCAATCCCATGGGCTGACGGTCAGCCCGCGGTCCCACGGGCCCCCACTCTGACGGTCAGCCCACAGTCCCACGGGCTCCCCACTCTGACGGTCAGCCCGCAGTCCCACGGGCTCCCCACTCTGACGGTCAGCCCACGGTCCCACGGGCTCCCCACTCTGACGGTCAGCCCGCGGTCCCACGGGCTCCCCGCTCTGACGGTCAGCGCGCAGTCCCACGGGCTCCCCGCTCTGACGGTCAGCCCACAGTCCCACTGGCTCCCCGCTCTGATGGTCAGCCCGCAGTCCCCGGGCGACAGGAGGAAGGAGAATGCTCTCCCGGCTTGGGGCAGGCAGAGTCGTCTAAACAAGCACTTGGTGACCACAGGGTCAGAGCTGTCTCCCGTTTCTCATCAGCTGGAGCAGGGTTCGCCCCGTGGGTTCGCACCCGGGTTCCCTGGCTCGGAGCCCCAGCTGCCCCTCCTGAGCCCAGTTTGCTGCCTCAGCAGCCCAGGGCAGGCGGGTGACGCTACCAGAGCCAGCTGCCCACCGCCCACCTCGGGGTCGTGGATGCACAGCGCCTGACCCCTGGTTTCTGGCTGCCCCGGAGCTGGCTGCTCTGGGCGTTTAGAGAATGAGCCAGCAGCCTGGGGCTCAGTCTGTCTCTGTCTCTCTCTCTTTCTCTGCTTCTCACATAAAAAATTTTTTAAAGGTTTATTTATTTGAAAGTTAGAGTTACAGAGAATGAGAGAGAGACAGAGACACAGAGAGAGAGATCTTCCATCCTCTGGTTCACTCCCCAATTGGCCGCAATAGCCAGGGCTGAGCCAGGCCAAAGCCAAAAGCCAGGAGCTTCTTCCAGGTCTCCCACGTGGGTACAGGGGCCCAAGCACTTGGGCCACCTTCTGCTGCTTTCCCGGGCCATCAGCAGGGAGCTGGATGGGAAGTGGAGCAGCCAGGACTCAAACTGGTGCCCATGTGGGATGGATGTGTCCCAAGTGGCAGCTTAACCTGCTGTCCCAAGACACTGGAACCTTCTCAGATAAATTTTTTTTTAAATTAAGAACATATGTTAATCAAAATAAATCATTAAGGGCAGCCTCAGTGTGGGATACATATATTCATACATTAACATTTTTAAGGGGTCATCTCTTGGGTGTAGTGGGTAAAGCTGCTGCCTGTGGGGCCAGCATCCCTTATGGACACCAGTTTGAGAGCCAGCTGCTCCACTTCCAATCCAGCTCCCTGCTAGTGTGCCTGGGAAAGCAGCAGAAGATGGCCCAAGTGCCTGGGCCCCCGCGCCCATGTGGGAGACCCGGAGGAAGCTCCTGGCTCCTGGTCTTGGCCTGGCTCAGCCCTGGCTGTTGCAGCCATTTGGAAAAGGAACCAGCAGATGGAAGATTCCTCTCTCTCTCTCTCTCTCTCTCTCTGCCTCTGCCTCTCTGTAACTCTGACTTTCAAGTAAAATAAAAAAAAAAAAAAGTGGAGCATCTAGTACTTGAACTGGTGTCCATGTGGGATACTGACACTGCAGGCCGCGGCTTTACCCGCTACACTGCAGTGCCTGCCCCAATAAATCTTGTTTTAAAACTTTTTTTTTTTTAATTTTAATTTAAGGGATCCCATTGTGGCACAGTGGGTGAAGCAGCCAGATGGGCTCCTGGCACCACATGTTCGAGTCCCGGCTGCTCCACTTTCCATCCAGCTCCCTGCTGTGGCCTGGGAAAGCAGCGGAAGATGGCCACGTGCTCGGGCTCCTGCCACCCACATAGGAAACATGGACAGAGGTCCTGTCTCCGGTTTCAGCATGGCCCAGCTCCAGCTATTGCAGTCATTTGGGGAGTGAGCCAGCAGACGGAAGACACACACACTCTCCCTGTGTTACTCTCTCTGTTACTCTGCCTATCAAGCAAACAAACAAATAAATAAATCTTTTAAAAACCGGGGGGCCAGTACTGTGGTACCGCGGGTTAACGCATCAGCCTGCAGCACCAGCATCCTATACGGGCACCAGTTCAAGTCCCGGCTGCTCCACTTCTGATCCAGCTCCCTGCTCGTGTGCCTGGGAAAGCAGTGAAAGGTGGCCCAAGTCCTTAGGCCCCTGTACGCATGTGGGAAACCCAGAAGCAGCTCCTGGCTCCTGGCTTTGGCCTGGCCCAGTCCTGGCTGTTGCAGCCATTCAGGGAGTGACCCAGCAGATGGAAGGTACCTCTCTCTCTCTTTGTCTCTGTCTCTCTCTCCTTCTCTTTCTCTGTAACTCTGCCTTTCAAATAAATATCTTTTTAAAACTTTATTTGAGGCCAGCGCCGCTGTAGCTCCTAGGCTAATCCTCCACCTGCGGCGCCGGCACACCAGGTTCTAGTCCCGGTCGGGGCGCCGGATTCTGTCCCGGTTGCCCCTCTTCCAGGCCAGCTCTCTGCTGTGGCCAGGGAGTGCAGTGGAGGATGGCCCAAGTGCTTGGGCCCTGCACCCCATGGGAGACCAGGATGAGTACCTGGCTTCTGGCTTCGGATCAGCGCAGTGTGCCGGCTGCAGCGGCCATTGGGGGGTGAACCAACAGCAAAGTAAGACCATTCTCTCTCTCTCTCTCTCTCACTGTCCACTCTGCCTGTCAAAAAAAAAAAAAAGAAGAAAAAAGAAAAAAAAACTTTATTTGAAAGGCAGAGAGAGCTTCCATTCACTGGGTCATTCCCAAATGCCCACAACAGTCCAGGCTGCGGCAGGCTGAAGCCAGGAGCCAGGAACGCAATCTGAGCTTCCACAGGGTGAGGGCACCAAGTGGCTGAGCCGTCACCGGCTGCCTCCCACGGTGTGCAAGCAGGAAGCTGGATCAGAAACAGAGCCGGACTTGAACAAAGTTCTTTGATACGGGATGCAGGTATCCCAAGAGACACCCTAACTTCTATACCAAAGACCCACCCCAACAACTATTTGGATAGCATTTTAAAATATTGATTTATTTGAAAGGCAGTTACAGAGAGGTGTGAGGGAGAGAGACAGAGAATCCCGGTCTTCCATGTGGGCGGCAGGGCCCTGAGTACTTGGGCCATCTTCCGCTGCTTTCCCAGGTGCACTGGCAGGGAGCTGGATGAGAACCAGAGCACCTGGCACTGTGATATGAGAAGCCAGCATTGCACGTAGCGGCTCACCCCACTGTGCCACGTCAGCGCTGCATGGCATTTACATTGTGTTAGTGCAGTGGGATTTAGAGTGTACAAGAGGATGTTCGCACAGTATACGCAAGAGACTGGAGCGTCCACAGATGTCGGTATTCAGAGAAGGTTCTGGAACCAATCCCTCGTGGACACTGAGGGACGGCCTGATGTGCTCCGTAGAAATCAGTGCGCACTCCAGAATGTTCATAGCTGCTTGGTTTGCAATATCGCACCCCTGGAAACAACTGGAACCCCATCTACGACAGAATGAATGGCAGTATTTTCTTTTTTTTTTAAAGATTTATTTATTTATTTGAAAGTCAGAGTTACACAGAGAGAGGAGAAGCAGAGAGAGAAGTCTTCCATCCACTGATTCACTCCCCAATTGGCTGTAATGGCCAGAGTGCACCGATCCAAAGCCAGGAGCCAAGAGCTTCTTCCGGGTCTCCCACATGGGTGCAGGGGCCCAAGGACTTGGGCCATCCTCCACTGCTTTCCCAGGCCATAGCAGACAGCTGGATCAGAAGTGCAGCAGCTGGGACTTGAACCAGCACCCATATGGGATGCCGGCACTTCGGGCCAGGGCTATAACAAAAGAATACCACACGACCACGAGAAGGACATACGCAAAGTGGCCAAAGCCGTGGACGCACGCTTGAGTGAAGGAAGGAGACACGAAAGGGAGCCTTCTGAGGGACTGCGCCTGGTGCTCGCTGGCCTCGCTGGGGGCTGAGCCCGCTGGGAGCCGAAGCTGCCCTGCTCCTGGGTGGCATCACGTGGCTATATGGCCACCGGCCTCTGCGGTGCAGGTGTAGGCCAGGAACAGCGTGGTCCGTGTTCTGCCTTTATCGGGTGCCACGGGTTCCACGGGCTGTGGCTAAGGAGCTCTGGGAGTCTAGGTGCCGATTTCCCTCACCTCGTCTTGGGTAACCGCTCACTTTTCCTGTGTTCATCGGAACCCACTGTCCTAGCGAGGAGAGTCCCTGCATCTCTCTCGACTGGTTCTGGGACTGCAGAACCCAGCATGGACTCATTGTTCAGCTTTCTGAAACCAGGGCGCTGTTTCCTGGGGTAACAGGGATGCCCCCGGGTACTAGAACCTCCAAACCCGGTGAGCCCAGGGCCGTGTGAATGCAAACAATTCCTTGAGTCACTTACCAGATCTAAGGCGCCAGGAAAGCCTGCCAGCCCCACACCCAGCCTGCAGGCACCTACTGCACTGTAGGCATCGGCCCCAATCAGCAGGTGCAGCGCCCAGCCGAGGCCACGCCCCCATCTCTCTGGACCACGCCCCCGTGTCGCGGGCAGCTGGGCACATGGCAAAGGTGGTCAATGCCAAAGGCATGAGGATATCATCCACCTCTCTTCCCCTTGGTGTGGATCGCCTGGCCGGAAGATACGCCCAGGAGGCGTTCCCAGGTGAGCCCCCGGGGAGACTACCACCTGCACCCTCTTCCTGGCTTCACGCGAGTGGCTTTCAAAGGCACGTTCTGAAAACACCGTGCATGGGTTTTAAAAGCTTTTTTGCACAGAAAGAAGCTTCCCTTTAGTGCCACTTTTGGAAGTTCCGTCGCGTTTCCACGTCCCACTCACCGCCTCCCCATCCACCTCGGGCGGCCCCCTCCCGACTGGGACACGAGGCGGGGCTCTCGTCTGTGCCATCACCCGGGACTGAGCCTGGAGAACTCAGCTCTGGGCCCCCTTGCTGGAGGCCAGGCCGGGCCGGAGCTGAGAGCCGCTGCCCACTCGCCCGGGGGTGCTGTTGGGAACCAGGGCAGGGTGCGGCTGGCGAGTGGGCAGGGTTTCCGCCAGGAACTTGACCTGTGCCTGACCCAGCAACGCACCCTCGAATCCCTGCTCACCTGGGCACAGCATGAGCTGACGTGGCTGCTGGGTGAGCGCTATGGCATCCCTGCAGGCCCCGCCCCCGCCAGGTGATGGGCCGGACGGCCTCCTCTCCTGCCCCTGGTGTTACCAAGAGAGCCGTCTTCCGCCAATGCTCAGAGCATGCTCCGGGGCCGAGACACCCTCCCACCGGCAAGTTCCTAAATAAACTCGCCGGATAAACAGCTGGCACGGGGGAGGCAACCAAGGTGGGCGTGAGAGGGCGCAGGAGGCCAGGCGGTGGGGAGCGGTGGGGACGCTGAGAACACGGATTCCAGCAGGTGCGTTGGAGTTCAGCTCCTGGCTCAGGTTCCCAGGACGTGAGTCAGGTGAGGCGCCGAATCTTGCTGAGCGTGTGTGTGCGTGTGTGTGTGTGTGTTTCATTAATGACAAACACTAAAAGAACTCACCTCCTGAGGTTGCACGGATCGGAGCAGGTATTTCCAGAACAGTGGGGTGAGAACCTCTGAGAACCCGCAGAGAGGGGCTGACGCCACGGCGCAGTGGGTTAAGCCGCCGTCTGCCACGCCCAGCATCCCATAGGGACGCCGGTTCGAGTCTTGTCTGCTCCATTTCAGACCCAGCTCCCAGCTAATGTGGAAGATGGCCTGAGTGTCTGGGTCCCTGTCGCCCAGGTGGGAGACCCATATGGAGTTCCAGGCAGCCATTCGGGGAGCAAACCAGAGAATGGAAGATTCTCTTTCTCTCTCTCTGACTCTGCCTTTCAAATAAATAAATACATCTTAAAAAAAAAAAAAAGCAAAGAGAACACTGACAAACATTGGTCAAAATCAAACTTTTCAGAATTCTGGAAGCTATCTCGTGGTGTACAAAAATCTGAGGAGGATTTATGCAAGTGTAAGAAAAATACCAGCTTTGCCCAAATCCTCTCTCCCAAGTCCGTGGTAGCCTTGAAAAACAGCAGACTTTCGAACGTGAGGCTTGAGAGCAAACATCCTATCAGGCCCAGGAACACACAGGATGGGCTTGGGGCGCCCTAAAGCCCTTCCCCGGGAGAACTGCCCCGGCTGGGCCTGTCTCGAAGAGTCTCCATCTGATCCAAGCCTTATCGCCAAGGCATTGTCCAAAAATAATCATTGGTAATTATATAACATTGAAACTGCCGGTGGTAGTGTTACCAGCTGGGGTTAACAAGAGACTCCCCCCACCCCACCCCCAAAAAAAAACCCACCTGAGCTACAGAGAAATAACCGGGGACTGAAACAGCCACAGGAGGCTTTGAAAAGTTGCTGCGATGCCTGGGAGACCTGGATGAAGCTCCTGGCTCCTGGCGCCAGCCTGGTCCAGCCCCAGCCATGCAGCTGTTAGGGAGTGAACCAGCGCATGGAAGGTCTCGCCCTCCCTGTCTCTCTCATTCTGCCTTTCAAATAAAATAAAAATACATCTTTAAGAAAGAGAGAAGGCCGGTGCCGCGGCTCACTGGGCTAATCCTCCGCCTTGCGGCGCCAGCACACCAGGTTCTAGTCCCGGTCGGGGTGCCAGATTCTGTCCTGGTTGCCCCTCTTCCAGGCCAGCTCTCTGCTGTGGCCAGGGAGTGCAGTGGAGGATGGCCCAAGTGCTTGGGTCCTGCACCCCATGGGAGACCAGGATAAGTACCTGGCTCCTGCCATCGGATCAGCGCGGTGCGCCGGCCACAGCACGCTGGCCGCGGCGGCCATTGGAGGGTGAACCAATGGCAAAAGGAAGACTTTTCTCTCTGTCTCTCTCTCTCACTGTCCACTCTGCCTGTCAAAAAAAAGAAAAAGAAAAAGGAAGAGAGAGAGAGAGAGAGAGAGAAGAGGCCCTGGCACACGTTCCTGGGAGCCTAGAAAGCGATGCATCTTTGTAGGGCTGTGCCTGCTCCGGGGGAGACCCGAGAAGGTCCTGACGTTTCGTCTCTGGCTGAACGTGAGACTCGGCACAGGCAGGAAGTGAAGGCTAAGGCAGAGCTGTGAGCAACCCGCCGGGGTGTGCCAGGCATGCCGCATCACACAGCCCTCTGCAAGGCCTGGGAGACCTCATGGTGCACAACACGCGGAGACATATCTGTCCGGTCATCAGCTGGGCACCAGGATGACTCTGGAAACACGGGGGATCATATCCAGGAAGAACATGGACTTTGCAGAGCTGGTCTGGAAAAGTCACGAAACAAGCGACAGCAACAAGCAGCAGCAGCGTCAGCCCCAGGCCAGAGGGGCCACCTGACGTCCCACCACCCCAGGCTTTCCACAAGAAGTGAAGAGAAACGCACAAAAGTAGGCAAGTGCAACCCCCAACCAGGAAAACCACGGCTTCTTCCGAACTCGGGTGGTTCTCGTGGACGAAGTGTGTACTATAGACACCTTCAAAGAACCACAGGAAACAACACGGAGGAAATGCGGGGGAATGTGTGAGGACGCTGCCTCACCCGCGGGAGGACACCAACAAGAGACAGAAATCATTAAAAGAACCCAATAGGAAGCAGAGTTGAAAAGTACAATGACCAAGGGGCCGGCACCATGGCAGAGCGGTAAAGCCGCCACCTGCAACGCCGGCATCCCGTATGGGTGCCAGTTCGTGTCCCGGCTACACCACTTCTGAGCCAGCTCCCTGCTAATGCTCCTAGGATAGTATGGAAGATGGCCCAGGTCCTTGGGCTCCTGCACCCACGCGGGAGACCAGGAGGAAGCTCCTGGCTCCTGGCTTTAGATCGGCCCAGCTCCGACCATTGCAGCCATTTGGGGAGTGAACCAGTGGATGGAAGACCTCTCTCTCTCTCCCTCTGCCTCTCTGTAACTCTGCCATAAATAAATAAATCTTTTAAATAAATAAATAAATAATATTTTATAAAAAGTCGGGGTGGGCAGTTCCAGTCCAAGGCTGTGCCCGCCCAGCTGACCGAGCACAGAGGACAGTGTGTGTGTGTGTGTGTGTGTGTGCGCGCGCGCGGTGCATTGGGTGTGCACCCGGGTTCATATGTCGTCTGCATGTATGCGTGTGTGCTTTGTGTGTGCTGTGCATTTGGTGCACTGTGTGTGAACACGTGTGCATACTACGTGTTTATGATTTGTGTGTGTAGTGATATTTGTGTGCATGATTTCTTGCATGTGCATATGTAGTGTGTGTGAGTCACGCGTGTATACGTAAGGTGCGTGTGCACACGTGTGAGAGCTGCTCTGTGCACGTCCACGTGACACACGTGCAGGTGGAGAGATGGCTGGCCTCCATCCCGTGCCAGCACCAGGAGAAGCCTAGCGGCCATGGGTGGTCCACACAGACCACTGCCTCCGGCACTCCCGCCCCGGGCCCTCTCGGCTCTGCTCAGCTCCTGTCAGCCGGCAGGGGCGTCCTCTCCCCGGCCACCCCGCAGCTCGGCCCGGCCTCCTCCTGCCCAGCTGAGGGAGGCTCCCAGAGGCCCCCTGGTGCTCACTGCAGGTTCCTTGGAGCCAGGGCACCCGCGCTCACCAGGCTCCATGAGGGCACAAAGGGGCTGGGAGACCTTGGTGGACACAGGCCCTCCCAGAGGCCGGGTAGCATGTGATGTCTACATACGTCTTTGTCCCAGGTTTTCCAGAAAATTACCCCAGCCCACCATGCATAAACCCACCTGGGGTTGGGCCTGGTCAGAGGACGGGCAAAGGTCCTGGGGCATTGGCTCTCCAAGTCTGAGCAGGGTGGGGCGATCCCTGCCGTGACCCTGCAGCCTGCCCAGGGGACATCTGGTGGTGTCTGGGGACATTGTTCATTGTCACAAATGGGCACAAGGGCAGAAGCCAGGGATGCCACCTTACCCCCCCCACGCACGGGGGCCAAATGCCCACAAGGCTGGGGGTGAGCCACCCTGGCCCACGCTCGCTGGGCAAAGACTCTGCGTCTGTGGAGTCTCTCACTCACTGAAGTCTATGTGTAACCCCAAAAACCAGCATTCTCAGGGCTGGCTGTGGCGTTGTGGGTAAAGCCGCTGCCTGCAACGCTGGCATCCAGTTTGGGCACCGGTTCGAGTCCCGGCTGCTCTGTTTCCAACCCAGCTCCCTGCTAATGGGCCGGGGAAAGCATTGGAGGACGGCCCAAGCACCTGGACCCCCGCTACCCACATGGGAGACCCCAGTGAAGCTCCTGGCTCCTGCCTTCAACCTGGTCCGGCCCCAGCCATTGTGGCTATTTGGGGAGTGAAGATCTCTCTGTAATTCTTTTTTTTTTTTTAAGATATTTTATTTATTTATTTGACAGGTAGAGTCACAGACAATGAGAGGCAGAGACAGAGAGAGAGGTCTTCCTTCCGTTGGTTCACCCTCCAAATGGCCGCTACAGCCGGAGCTGCGCCGATCCAAAGCCAGGAGCCAGGTGCTTCTCCTGGTCTCCCATGGGGTGCAGGGCCCAAGCACTTGGGCCATCCTCCTCTGCACTCCTGGGCCACAGCAGAGAGCTGGCCTGGAAGAGGAGCAACCAGGACTAGAACCCGGCACCCATATGGGATGCCGGCACCACAGGCAGAGGATCAGCCAACTGAGCCACGGCACCAGCCCTCTCTGTAATTCTTTCAAATAAGTAAATAAGTCTTTTTAAAAAAATCAGCATTCTCAGCGCTTTCACAGTTTGCCAAGCAGCCCAGGACACCGAACACCCAAAGTCCCAGAGCAAGCGGTTAGCGCAGTGGCTGAGACGCCCGCACCCCACACCAGGGCACCCGGATATGACTCCCCGCCCCAGCCCCGGCTCCGGGCTCCCAACGCCAGCGTCCTGCTAATGCGCACCCTGCAAGACAGTGGTGATGGCTCTAGTACTTGGGTCCCCTTGGATCCCACCAATGCGGGTTGGAGCTCCAGGCTCAGCCCCAGCTGTGGCCAGAGTTTGGGGAGTGAACTTTGCCTTTTTTTATATATATTTATTTATAGAGAGAGACAGAGAGAAAGGTCTTCCTTTGCCGTTGGTTCACCCTCCAATGGCCGCCGCGGCCTGCGCACTGCAGCCGGCGCACCGCACTGATCCGATGGCAGGAGCCAGGTACTTTTCCCGGTCTCCCATGGGGTGCAGGGCCCAAGCACTTGGGCCATCCTCCACTGCACTCCTGGGCCACAGCAGAGAGCTGGCCTGGAAGAGGGGCAACCGGGACAGAATCCGGCACCCCGACCGGGACTAGAACCCGGTGTGCCGGCGCCGCAAGGCGGAGGATTAGCCTAGTGAGCCGCGGCGCCGGCGAACTCTGCCTTTCAAAGCAATGTATTTACAATAAAGAAAGCAAGCAAATGTACTGAACCACCCACGGTGATGGCCACACACAATTACGAATGTGCTAAACGACAGTTGTGCCCTGGGAGTGGCAAGACGGTGGGGCCTGTGGATGACATCTCAGGGACGCAGCTGTGGGAGTGGCCAGGTCAGCAGAGCCCCTGACACGTGGCTCTGAGCCTGCAGGCGGAGGGGCTGTGTGCAGGGGGAGGGGCTGCTCCCGGCAGCCTGGGAGCGCCTGTGCCGAGCCCCTGCCACGGTGGCCATGACGGCCTTCCCGGGGGCTGCCCCTCCCCAGGCAGGACTCCCTTCACAGCCCAGCGACAGACAATTCCCACTGCGCAAGGCCCCAGGCGGATCGATCCCGACTGTCACCTCCAATTTATCACCCACTTAAGCGCCACCCAGCAGAGGCCTCCCGGGAGCCCGCTGACCACCGCCCCCCGGCCAGCTCGTCGGCAGGAAGTGCCGCAGGCGGCAGCCACGGCGGATCCAGACCTCACCGAGCCGCAAAAAACCAGCTGAAGCCGGAGCCCCCAGCCCTTCGGGGTCCCTT